TCTTTTTGTAATATCTACTTCAGAGCACTTGTGTGTACACTGTACAATCAGAATGTTTTTAACAAAATCATTTTGCAAATGACCAAAGACAAGGTAAGTAAATTAACGAGTTTCATTTTCATTGAAAAAGCAGCTGTGTATGATGTCAAAAAGCCTGGACCTTTTTTTTTCATGTGGAATCGTTGTATTCAGTATTGGAAAGTCGTACGTTTTGATGTTATTGATTTTGGTCAAATTTTGTGAACAAGGTACAGTTTCAATACAAATCTTGCCCAGTATTTTTCAAAAATATGAAAGTGATGTAAGAAATTAAAACTCATGCTTTCTGAGTTGTTGAAATTCCATGCAGTAAGAAATTAAAAATAGTTTTTCTCATATGACTTCCTAAAGGCTAATGTGACGTCATAAACTTGTGCATTTTCCCGTATTTTCTTTAAAAGTTGCAGAAGACATAAATTTTCAGTGAATTTTTCTCTCAGATAATATAGAGCACATGCATCGCCCACAAAGATTTTCATAAATATGATTTTTCAAAGGATTTTACACAACATATCCAAAAATTGCAGTGGGCGACGGCTGTGGACACTATTTTCTTAAGGAAAATAACCCCAGAAATGAGTCATTTTGAGGCTTTTTCTGTTAAAAACTTAGAAATGTACCAAATTAATGACGTCATATTTCCAGAATGGTCCTCCTTCATGTCGTATTCTTTCATGATTTATCACATTCATATACTCAACTCATATTTAAGCCAATTCCATAATTTTTTGAAAACATTCAATTCTTAAGGCACAATAAAGCCCAAAATGTACTTTCTCCTTTCTAAGAGTCCCTTGGTGTTTTTAAGTATTCCCATCCGATTTACACCGCTTCTTTAATATATTGTTGTACAGTACTCCTGTAGTTTCTCCTCACTGCTGTTAATTTTTCAGTGAGGAGAAAAGAAAGAGGCTTCGTAGAACATTTACAGGATCCCGCTATGTATCCTTATTGATAAGGATTTTTATTAATTTAATTTAGGAATCCAGTATACACTTGGTAATTCAAATTCATTTTGATTGTTGGGAATATTAAAGATATTCAAAACTGACATGATTTTGAAGAATTTCTTCATAAGAAAGGGACCGTTCACGGTAACCTAATTAGTGTAGCGGCTTAGACCAAAATTTATCTTCTTTTGTGGAGTCAAGCATGACATTTGGCACAATTATCTGCCATTCTATATTGATTCTAAAAATCACCTTTGGTCATTGCAATTTCTGTCATTTTCAAGATGGCTACCGCTAAAACAAAATGACGATATTTCTATCCTACTTGGAATTACAAACGATCGATTTGCTGTAATATTTATCATTCTTTGGTCATTTTGTGATATATTTTGGTTATAAATAAGCTTTGTTAAAAAAATTTAAACGTCACATTGTAAAATAAAAGCTGAATCACAGTTGTTAACGCAATTCAATTCTGCAATACATATATTTTGTTTTTATATTGTACTAATTAGTCAAGAGTTGCGTGATCTAAAATTTGAGAATAAATTCCAAAATGTCATATTTTAGTGTGACATAAATACAAAGATTGGCAAGAAAGTAAAAATCAAAGAGAAGGCAATGGGAAGGAAGGGTGCATCTGCATAATGCATCTGGGGACGTGAATGCAGAAGAACTTCTTGCTGAATTTCGTGATATAAATTCAATTGTTATCGGAGGATCCATATTCCATCATATGAGTTTCTAAACAGAACCATGAAAGTCGGGAATATGGATGAATGAAAAACCAGACTGATCTTGTCCTGATAAGTCAGAGAGGAAAAGATCGGACCTCAGCTATGTAAGGGTAAAATGTTGAAAAACAAAAAGACACGAATCGAAGAAATATTTCGAATATTCTACAATGATATTGAATTCAAAGTCTTTAGAGACAATAAAAGACCTAGATAGATAAATGGAGTGCAGGCAAAGACATTTTGCAAAAAAAAAAATTAAAATCCTAACCAAATGGATATTAAAAAATTGAATAAAGGAATTGATGTAACTAAAACAAATCACAGGAAGCTAATTAAGGAAGATGCAAAAACAAGATTGCAAAGAAGTTAGCTCCAAATGAAATTTTAGGACCTAAACAAAAAAGACGATCATCATAACTGCAGGTAAGAACAAGAGACTTAATAAATAAGCTTGCTTAGAAAGCTGAGCTGGCAGCTCACGGAGGAGATTTGAACTTCAAACAATATCACAAAAATCCTGAAAAAGAGATGATCTGGTGTAGCCAACCCAGTCAAAAAATGATTATAAAGCTAGAACTATAAATAAACAATTAAATACATGAAACAGACACTTAAATCAATATACACTGTAAGTACTAAATAAACCCAAACCCTATAAGTCTTATACAAATAACATTGGCCCAGGGGCAGACCTGAACGCAGACATAGCTGGAGGAAAGTAGCACATCAAATTTGGTTTCCTAACATAAACCATTAAGTTCACAAAATAACCAATAATTTCAGATTTTCCAGTGAACATACATGTATTTTTCAAAGAATAAATAAAAGTTATACGAGTTAATCTGCCATTTTATTTAAAATGAAAAAAAATCCTGATAGTATAGATAAAAGCATTAATGAATTCAAATACAGCAAAAAATGAACTAAAGTCAAATTTACTGATATAGAAAAATAATTAATTAATCACTGCGAGATATGAAGTTTCTTATGCATAAATGGTACAAATCAAAATTTATCAATATTAGCTACACGTCTTTGTCTTTCTGAGCTTCTTTGTTTTGACTTCGCCTCTCAAGCAGTCAGCATTGAAAACGTTGGTCAATAAGCGAAACCACTGCTTTAAAAGCCGATAGGAATGTTCGATTCAATGGAAAGCGAAAAGAAACAGGTTATAGACATGAGTCATACAAGTAAGTTAGAAAAATAAGAAAAAAGCTGGAGTAATTGTTTATTGAATGTAGCTTTACATTCTTTTTATTTCAAGGTATAAATTTTCTCAGCCATCCAGCTACGTATTGAAAAATGGATTGATCCTGTTTCCCGTTCTTCTAAAATAGCAAAAGTGTTATATACATGTATTTAGTAAAAAAAAAAATCGATCTCATTACACTGTACATAAAACACTATCTCAGGGATGGCAATCAAACGCGTTATCGATACATACATTAAGCAGAACTTGATCCTACTGATTTTAAATCAGTGGGTACTCAATGCTTTGTGCTTCCTTTCTGTCTTACTTAGTACCACGTCGGTGAAAAATCTTATTTAGGGTACATGTATCCCTTTTTAATATAATTAATCATAATCAACACTTTTAATGCAGTTATATTATTAATGGGAAAATCAAACAAAAAGAAAAATGAACTTAAAAAAAAAATAAATTTTATCAGCATGAACCTAATTTTACAATATTCACAGATTAAAAGTCAAATTCGAATATCTTTCAAATCAACTTACAGCAATAATTAGCACCTTAATTCTAGAAATTTTAACGGCTATTTCTGTTTTGCCAATTTGGGTCAAAATGGTGTATATTAATTTTTACGTTTCTACATTTTGTGAATTCGCATCAATGCAAAAAATAAAAGTAACTAAAGGAAAAACCACTAAAATTCCTAATTTTTTTTTGTTTTGTTTTGTTTTTTTTTTTTTTTTTGTTTTTGTTTTTTTTTTTTTTTTGTTTTGTTTTTTCTTTTTTTTTTTTTTTTTGTTGATTAAAGCTATACATGGCGTATCTGAGCTAAAAAAATAAATAAATAAAGATACGAGATATAGTGTAGATGAACATATTATTTGTTATTTTCGTAGAAATTAAAAGTTTCACCGATTTTGAACTTGAATAACTCCACGTTTCTATAGTTAAATTGACTTTAAACTGTGTCTGGTATTTAAATGCGGAGTCGGTAAATAAATCGGTTATTGTTTTAAATTTCTAATACCTATGAAACGCAATTGATTTAAATTGTGTAATTTACAGGAAAGTCCTATCTTTATATAAAGTATTGAAACAAATAGAAAGATCTTTTTAATTTTAGTTAGTCTGCACTTTTCAAAATACGCCATATATGACTTTAATCGTACGCTAAATTCAAAGGTGGCAATTTTTTTTTCTTCTATCAATTGTATTAAAGATGCGTCCTGTGTTTTTCCTTAGTGCTTTCTTGTGACAGTCATACCTCAATATAGAACAAAGTTATTAAAGTACTTGATTTTTTTTCCTAATTGTCTTACCTTTTAAGGTAAGGAATCTTACAGGCAATAAATTAGACTTTCTGAAAGAAAATCTCAACTCCCCAAAGTATCTTTCTTATGGTGACATAAAAAGCACATGACAGTGTGTTTCTAAAAAAACAAAGAACAGAATTTTAAGTAACAGAATTAAGTTATTTGTATGGCAAACCCTTTTACTATTTATTGAAAAAATAAGTATCTCTTTAAATAAGAGAAATATCTGGTTTTTCTTAAAGATATTTCTTCAAGTTAGAGAGATATTTCTTTAAGTTAGAGAGATATGTCTTTAAGTTAGAGAGATATGTCTTTAAGTTAGAGAGATATTTCTTTAACATCGAGTTATCTCTTCAACCTATAAAGATTCCTCTTTAACTAAGAGAGATATCTCTTTAAATTTGAGAGATGAGAGATGTATCTGCAATTTAAAGAGATGTTTTATTTTACGAATAAAAAGTAAAACGCTTTGCCATATATTTGCATTTTCCTTTAAATTTTAAAGGAATTTCAATGAGTATACATTCTACAAATTGAAACGAACATGTGAACAACCCTTAACATAAATAGAATTTCAAAAATGACACCAAAAATGCTGATACACAGTTCATTGACAATAATTTTAAAAAAGAAATGATTTTGCTCATCAACCTGGAGATTTAAACATGTCTAATGTTTACTTCCTGACTTGGCGGAAATGATAATGGATAGCCGGATGTCCGATGTCAGCTGTACCCACTTACAAGATTTATGTAAAATCTGGAAACAGATGAAGTAGTTTAAGTGTTTTGAAAATAAGCAATGATGACGATAAAATCTGTTTTCATTATATCATTACTATTCATCTCAGGTAAGAAAGAATATAGTACGCATGTCTTTAACTATGCATGCCTTCATGTTAATTGCTAATTTTAAAGTTATTATTTTTAAAAATAAATTTATTAAACTTATTTCTCGAAATAGTCGTATTTCGTGTACAGTTATTTTGATAATACAACATGGTAAATCAATTTAAGTGTTAGTATGCAAATACAAGGTTTAAATAGAATATGTTAACTTAATTCAAATTTAAATATGATAGGAAGTTACAAATTGTATCACACGGGATTGAAAACAATGTTATAGATAAAATTCTATGGTAATTTTTATTCATATCGTTAATTTGTAGTACTGTGTGAAAAGGAAACGTGTTCTAGAGATGGAAAAGACTGTACCAAAGACGGCAAGCATAAGTTACAAGAAAGCATGAATCCTAGGCGATATTTTCCCGGATTAAAAGCCATAATCAACGGAGATTATCAATTTCCAACCGATTTCTTTACAGGATTTTGCGAGTAAGTATTAGTGGGGTTTGAAGTAAAATTTCACTTCTTTATACCTGCTGCACTATAAATGCTGATGTTTAAACATCAAGGATCGATACACCAACACGATCGATTCTTATTGATTGAGCTTTAATTACTTGGAACATACTTTCCAAAAGAGATTTTTTGTTCCCCGCTTTCGCGAAAGCCAGGGGACATTAAATCTAAGTCATCTGTCAGTTTGTCCGTCTGTCATAAAAACTTTTACGTTGATCACTAGTTTTGAATAAGAAAAGCTAGTAGGGCTTTCATATTTCACATTTACATTACCTGTGACAAAGCCTTTCCAAATAATATTATACTCTGATATTTGACCCCATGTCCTTGACCTTGAAGTTTGCCCTAATTTTCAAAAAAAAAATTGCATTGATTTTAACTTTCGAATAAGCAAAGATAGGGCATTCATAGTTGACATATGCATTACCTCTGACACGACGTTTTCGAACATGCTACGATGTATGATATATATTTGACCTTGTGACTTTGACATTAAAGTTTGTTCTAATTTTCACAAAAAAGTAACATTTGTGATAACTAAGAAAAAATATAGAGCTTTTATATTTGACAAAAGCATTACTTGTGACAATTCTGAATGTGCTATGATATTTGACCCAGTGACCTTGATTTTCAAGTTTAACCTAATTTTCAAAAAAAATTATCATTGCTAATAACTTCTGATGGAGAGAAAAGAGGGCATTCATAATTGACATGTAAATTATCTGTGACAAGATGTTTCCAAATGTACTGTGATTTTTAACCCCATAGCCTTGATCTTGAAGTTTGACGTACCTAATTTGCAAAATTCTAATATTACTGATAACTTTTAAATGAGAGAAAATAGGTAATTTATATTTGACACGATATGCCAGAAATAATTGCTTCCGATCCACAAAGACACAGAAAGCGGGGAAACACAATTCTTTGAATTTGCTTGTTTTTGTTGTTTTGTCTTCGTGAACAGCAGGAAAAAAATTGGGTTTTCTAATGTTTATATATAAAACTTTTCATGTGTATTTGAGACAAGATCTTAGATCTGGATCGTGGAGGAGTCTCGATCGTTGCTAGCTGAAACTTATATAACTTTGAAAAGTTATATACCGATCAGAAACGACACCAATATCCATCACATTGATGTACTTTTTTTTTAATTTGTAACATACAATTTACATGTACATGTAGCATTCGTATTAAAATAGCTAACACGGCCGACTAATGTGGTACAGTCTATGTATGGAAGGATTCGTTGCATGAGCAGCATACAATCTTTGAATGTTCTGGTACAGAGCATGAATTATCAATATGTTTATGGGTCTTTCTTATTTATCAAGGTCTATGGGTAATAAGCACGGTGATGCAGGCCTTTACTATAACTGGATGTCTGGGGATAAATTTGTCAAAAGACTGTGTTCTGGGAATACTGCTGAAGGTAAGATAAAAATTTAAACTCATTTTACAAGGATTTGGAAATTACAAAAGTATATCATAATTATTTTTGGATGTTTTCATGCAGAGTAATAAATCCTTGCCTTTAGTGAAAAAAAAAACTTTAAATTTAAATTCCTGATCTCTATACACTGTATTTATTAATTTATAGAGGAAAATATTGACTAGGACATACAAAACAATTCAATGAACTTTAAGTTATGCTGTAAAAAGTTACCAGCATGATTGACGATGTCATCTTGTTAAGCTACATATAATTATACAATATGTTTATAGAGTTAAACAAACTGGTTCCTTGTATAAATGACAAACAAGTACGCAGCAGCTTCGTCAGGGCGATATCTAACATGCCGAATATTCCTGAGCCATCTGAGGGCATGACGGAGGAAGAGGCTCAGAAAGGACTATGCAGGTATACATGTACTCACAGCACACCCCCCCCCCCTTTTACACACACCCTAATAAACACAACCCTCAACCACCCACCCCGGCTCAAAAATAATAACTCTAAAGTATATCGGCCTAATTTTTGTCCAATGTTTATTTTGACATTTGCAATGATGAAATCTGTTTTTAATATTCCATATTTAAGGTATAATAGCATATTATATGGAAAATGATGTTTTCTTTTCCCTTTGTCTAGAATTGTTTGATCGTACATTTAATAAGACGGGCCACTTAGGGGTGGGGGTCTGTCGCATAATTTTTAGGCACATACGAGGGTTGTCCCAAAATTCTGTACACAAGGGTAATTTTATAGGAACCCGGTATCAAAAATTAATGAAACTTTGTACATAGATTAAACCAACAATAACAAATAAATTCATCGAATATATGTACATGTATAAACCGTACATGTATTGAAATCCCATCTTTAAGTCAACCTTATAGAAATTTTCAAAACGTGGTTTAAGGAGGCTGGGGGATCAACAAATTAACCAGCAGATATAACTTATTTTTTTAAATATGATATCTTAATCTGTCAACTATCATATGGCAAAGAAAAATTTCATTCATTTTAGTTTTGAAATTTGATCATTTTTGTATATCTTTATATGGAGCTCTTCTTCTAAAGGAGATAAATATAGTCTGAAAATGGCCGCAACCACCCAGTCCTCTTAACTAATGTTTTATCTTTTATAATTATATTATGGCGTGTAGCCATGTGTAGCATTAACAAATATTAATATCACATACCAACATTTTGGACGTTTTTTCTATATACATGTAATTAAAGTCATATATGGCGTATTTTTTTGATAAGTTCAGGTAAACAAAATTAAAAAGATCTTTCCATTTGTTTTATCATTTTACATGTATATAAAAATAGGACATTCCTGTAAATTACACAATTCAAATCAATCGCGTTTCAAAGATTTGAAAAATTTAAAACAATAACCGATTTATTTACCGACTCCACATTTAAAAAACAGACAAATTTAAAGTCAATTTAACTATAGAAACAAGAGGTTATTCAAGCTCAAAATCGGTGAAAATTTTAATTTGAACGTAAATATATTTACACTCAGTCTCGTATTATTATTTTTCAAGCTCAGATACGCCATATATAGCTTTAAAAGAAATATACATGTAATACTACTGTCCAAAAGTAATATAGGCATTTAATGGGTTTTGTTCGACATTGCAATACATGTAGATATAGCATTTATTTTTTTAATTTGATTACAAAACTTTTTTTCAGTTTCCTATCATCATCTCTTACTAAGCTGCTGAAAATTCTGCACCCTAACTGCGATCAAAAGGGTTTCCATACGATGGTTAAATTAGTAACAGACATTCTGCAAAACTCCGAGGACTACAACATCCCTCTCCTTAACGTACCAGGCACCTGTGTGACTGACCTAAAAAACCAGCTAAACAAGCAGTTTGAAAATTAAATATTTATCAAAGGTTATTACGAAAAAATAATTCATATATTAAATATGTGTACAAATAGTGTGGTGTCTTATGGAGATTCACTATCATAATGCAATTAAAAAAAAAGAATAAGAAAAGAGAGAAAAAGTGTATACACATGTAAGAGAGACTCTCAATACAACTAAATGTATTCTAAGAAGGGGTTGGGCGTTGGTCACGACTGGAAAACTGCACTTTGCATTTACCAAGGTAACGTACACGTACATACATGTAATCAGAAGAATATTTAACATTTTATTGGATGTATGTTAGCTTTTCCTTCAGCCCAATGAATAAATGAGTGTGACATGACATTAAAAGCTGCTCTTTTGCAAAATAAATGTAGTACATGTAAGTCTGCTTACTGCAACTCCATTTCCCATTTTTTGATATACACATTCCAGATCATAATTTGAATTCATGTACAAGTATTCCTATTTTTTTTTCCTTCCTTGTTCATTTCTTTAACCAACAACCTGAAATGTTTGCAGAATGTAAATGTGAAGTCAAATGTTTGCAATCACCACAGTGACCACACAAAGACATCAATTATATATATTTATATATATATATATACAATGTATATATATATATATATATATATATATATATATATATATATATATATATAGTTTAATATCTAATACTTTCTTCCTCTTTAAACTTTACAATGAGTAAAACATACCAAAGTAAAGCCCCATTTTGTAAAAGAACTGTCTACTGAGATTGAAAAACTTAGTTTTTAAAATTTAATTTTTTTTTACACATTTATTTTTTTATTTAATGTGAGAAGAAATATTCAAGAAGATATTGTTATACAAGGAATTCTATTTAAAACAAAGTACAGTTGAACTTCGGTATCTGGAACACAGATATCTGGAATACCATGGATATGTTGAAGTGGTTGGGAAGTCCTATCCATGTATTTCTTCAGTATTTTACCCTCAATATCTTGAACCCTCGGATTTCTCAAAGTTTTTCTCCATCCCATCGAGTTTGAGATAATGAGGTTTGACTGTAATCAATAGCATGAAGTTGTACAATGTAGAATAACATTGTTTCAACAATAGAGTTCCTTCATAAAACAGGGTCTTGTACTTTACAAGTCAAACTACTAGTAATTAATCATACAAAGGAATTTTTTTTGTCAAGAATTCTTATACTGTAAAAAAAGGAGTCGGTGAACAATTACTTTGAAAATCACGATCAATTACTGAAAATTGCTGTAAATTACTGAAAATCACTGTTAATTACTGAAAATCCATGAATTACTGAGGCATCATATAATGAAGTACCATATACAGTGTATTTAAAATAAATAACTAAAACTATGAACAAAATTAAAAGTATTTAGTCACAGATACAAAATTTGTCAATCAAAAAAAAAGGAAGAAACTTAAGAAAGAAATTTAACACAAAATTAGAATTGAAATTTTGAAATATCATGAGTACTTTCATGTTGATAGACATTTTTTTATTATTTTGATTATTTTTAATTACAGGGAAATCAATGTTTAAATTATTTTTCACACGCTATAATGTAAATATTACATAAATCAAATGATTTCAGAAATATTGTAGAAGATTTACATTAAAATCACTCTAAAGTAAATCACAATTAAACAAGTTTGATTTCTTAGAGAAGAATGTGACATGTTATCGTAACATCATTTTTTTTTTTTTAAATCAAGCCATGCTTTCAAATGAAGCATATGCAGATATACATGTACAAACAAGAAAAATAAAAGAATTTGTCATCTATGTGTAGAATTTTTTTTTTATTTTGATAAATGAATATTAGATTTTTCCCTTTAAAAACATTTAAGGAACATCCTTCGCTTGTCAAATAAACCTGAACTTCATATATTGATTTAAAAACCAAATGATAAATCATGCCAATAACATGACATTTTATGTAAATATACTAAGTTTTCTTCACATTTTTAAATGGCACTATCGTTCATGATTCTTATTAATGATACAACATCTTTATGGTTTCCTGAAATTATTCTCAACTACATCATGTCTTGGAAAGTATACCAATCATATTCAATATGGCCTGGTTTTATATAATTTGGTACACAGGAAAGGTTTCCACATGAGGAAAATCATGCATACCAGTTTACACAATAATAATCCCTATTCAAAATGGTCTGGTATTATGTTATTTGGTGCACACTTGGAAAAATATACATAGAACAGAAACCATGCATTCAAGTTTACACATTAATAAAAGCAAAAAAAAAACTGCCTCTAAATCTTATGGGAAAATATTTTGATCTCTCTCTCAACATCCTCGTAATTAGGTTTAAGCACTTTTTCACAGGTTGAGGCTGACTTTACACACTCTTCCAATCTGCTATGCATGCTGGGAGCTTCTGTGATTTTGTGGGCCATTTCAAACAATTCTGACACAGATTTCTCCTTCATGTCTTTTTTACGCCCCAGGGCTTGCAGAACCTGAGGTATGAATTTCGAGTAGTGGGCTGTTGCATTGATGATCATTGGAACATCTCCGTCGTTTACAAGATCTGCCACAAACTTTGCGATTGCTGTATGTGGATCCAAAAGATATCCTGCAAAGAAGACATCCTGGAGTCAGCCATTTTACAGAAGATAAACATATGAAATTTCTATGATAAAGACAAATACTCTCTTCAGAAAGAACCTGTGGCACCTCTAATATGAATGCTGAATTCAAGGACTACAGACCACTACAGTAGAACTAAATGCATGCTGGGTTGTCCCTAAGAATTAAAATAGCAGGGGACATTAAAAAAGTAGGAGGGGGTTTTGGGTTCCTTCCTTGAAAGGGGGATGTGAGGGAATACCAGAGTAGCCGGGGGATTACAATGTACGTATTATTGGCAGGGAAATTCCCGTACCCCCAGGTCTTAGGGACAACCCTGGCATATAACTTGATCATCTATCATGGTAATTTTGACAAAATGTTTTCTGAACTTTCAAATGGATTTTGAGTTTCACAATATTGATAGAAAACTGAATGATCATCATTCCTGGTTGATGTCCAGGAAAAATTTCAAAGGTGTAATGTACTTGCAATATACTGTATGTGTACATAAATTAACGTATTCAAAATTTAGTGCAATCACTGGGTATGGAGTGGTTGGCATAGTCATGAATTAGCACTACAGATGTAAAATAAAAAATTTAAAAAAATACTTTTTTGTCTATGAGTTTAAGTAAAATTCTAATAACTTACTCTAAATAATTTTTAAACATCGTATTAGATTTTTGCTGTTTAATTAGTGTGTTCATTTGGCTGAAAATAGCCTTAAGGTATTTACTGTGCGGTCATAGTTTGGTTGTTGAGCATTTGATTACCATTTACTAGTAATTAAAAACAACTGACTTAAGATTTTTTGGTCCAGGAGGATCAATAATGTGTAATTATGTTAGAGTAGCATTGTATAACTAATACCCCACGTACATTGTCAAAGTTCACACATATAGTGTATGCGGGTTGACACAGTTGATTTGAATGGTCCAAGTGACAAATGCCAATAACCCATTTTATATTAAAATTGATGCTCATAAGTGAATGTGAAAAAAAAAATCACATTAAGCATGAATATACATGTACATACATATTTATATAGGCCTATTGCCTGGATAAATAGAGAACGACTAAATCGGGCTCGATGTTCGAGGCCTGATAAAATGGCAGATCAAAGCAAGTAAATGAAAAACATCATATCGTATTCATTTATTAACGGTAATCATGAATTAGTGCATCCCTGTCTGCATCCCTGTCTGCGTCAAAGCCGCTAAAATATGAAGCCTGCTTTTTTATGTACACATACAGTATATTATATGTACATAAAAGTGAATCATAATTTTTGTGGGGGTTTAAGTTTCATAATCATACCCCTCACAGAATGTTAAAATTTTATACTGCAGCATGATGTTTTCTCCTTTAACCTGGAAATCCAGAATTTTTTTTCTCAAAGCATGACAATTTGACTCCTGCACGAAAATAAGTGACTTTACAGTATTAAACCAACTTAGTTTCACCAACATCAGCAAACAATTCGCCACTACTTGGGGGTCTATATCATGGACTCTGGGGACATGAATGGTGCAAATTAAGATGTACATAATTTCTTTCCCCTATTATATGGCCAATTTAAAAAAAAACATCTGAACCAAGAGATATTAAATTTTCCAATTCTGATAGAAAGACAAGTAAACATGCAAACATATCTACATGTATGTGATGTCTGAGTTAAAACAAAGATTTTCTTTTACTGTTAATGTTAGAGGACTTAGTGTACATATAATCAAGCAAACAGCTATCTTGTTAGATTTGCAGGTGTAAAGAAGAATATTTCCAATGGTGTACTGCATTTTCAATTAATATGACCAACTTACCAACACCCTGGGGCCTGAGATCTTGGTTAATGGTACATGAATATTTTTATAGAAGGATAAGTTATCATTATAACCCTTGCCTGATAGATATCCATGAGTCAGACATATATTCAAAGGTGTTCATTTTCAATATATGACCAACTTACCCCCCCCCCCCCAACTTAATCATGGACTGGACTGACAATAAATGTCAAAATCTTAGTAGATTTCTTAGCCAAGTGCTCATTATAATTTTGCACAATTTTGCCTACCAGGCTACAAATCCAGTAAGGAAGAAGATTTGGTCCCACCCCTCAGGCCCCAAAAGGGAGGGGGGGGGGGGGCAGAACCAAAAAATTTTTAATTTTTGTTCCCTTTTATCCTTAGATGCTACTTACTGGATGAAATAGGCTCAACAATTTTTAGACAAAAATTGAAAATATTGAAAAGTTGACTAACAAAACACAACAACAGTGAGAACTCATAGTAATATGTCATCTGAATGACTCAAGTGACCTACGATAAAGGACTGGAGGTGATTAAAAAAATTTGTGTTAAACTCCAGTTTATGAATTTTCTTAGTTTCATTGTTTCTGCCTACACATATACAGTACCTGTTTTGTCAAAGCACTTTTTTATGGTTTGTAAACACTCAGCTTCTGAGCACCATTTTCCCACTAGTAAGCCCTGAATATCTTCCAAAAGCTAAAAGAAAGTAAAAAAAAAAAATCCTTTTTTTTTCCTCTGGTCATAACATTAATATTTCAAAACAAGATGTGTTTGTGAAACACTGATGCCCCCGTATGGCAGCTTATGGCGAAGGTTAAAGTTTCTCAAATGCAAGTCAAAATCCAGGCCAAAAGATAAAAAATGTTTAATTCGAAAGCCCTAGCTGCAACTGTTCAAAAGTTATGGCGAAGGTTAAATTTTTTAAAAGTAAGTAAAACATCAAGGTCAAGGTCAAAATTGTTGGTATCCAAAGGAAGGTCTTGTCACAAAGAATACATATGTGAAGTTTGAAACCCCAAGCACCAACTGTTCAGAAGTTATGGCCAAGGTTAAAGTCTCATAAAAATTTGCAAAAGTGGGTCAAACTCCAAGGTCAAGGTCAAAAGGTCAAATATGATGGTACCCAAAGAAAGGTCTTGTCACAAGGAATACACATGTGAAACATGAAAGTCATAGCTCCAACCAATCGAAAGTTATGGGCAAGGTTAAAGTTGACAACAGACAGACAGACAAACAGATAAACAGACAAACAGATAAACAGACAGACAGGACAAAAACAATATATCCCCGGGATCTTTCGATCCGGGGGCATAAAAAAATATTGAGCCTATCAAAGTTTTTTTATATGAGTTCCTGGTATTTTTTAACTCTTTCAACTTTTCAGTCTTTAACGTTTAAAATCTGCCAGAGTGAATTTATCAGTGGTCCAGTTGTGATCATTTCATTATTACTTCTACTCTTCACTAAACACAAAAAGTAAGATACATATACATGTACAACAATACTTAAAATTGATTGTATTAAATTCCAAGTATTATAAAATCCCCACACACAAACATCAACTTCAACCTTTCTTCATTCATTATTGCACAAACCTGGCCAGTCACTTCAAAACATTGATTTTCTTCTAGGTCCTTGAAACATTTGCGTACAAGCTGATGGTCCCTATTTGACATGTGATAGATGAAGCGTTCTAAATTTGAGGCTTTAAGTATATCTATGGCTGGCGACTGAGTCTTCTGGAGTTGACGGGATCGTATATCGTACTTTCCAGAGTTGATGAATTCTGTAAGTGTATTGTTGGTGTTGGATGCACATATAAGTCTTCTGAATGGAATTCCCATGGCCTTATATAAAGAAGAAAAAAACTGAGAATTTGAGCTTTTACATTTAACTCAATTTCTAGTAAAGATACTGTTTGATGAAACTGCTTTTATTTTAAATTGTTATGTAATTGTAAAACACAGATACAACACACACACACTTATAATGAATTCATGCTTTTTATCCTTGTAGTTTAGAAACATTCCATGAACTTATCTGATATAACTAATTATGTCTAAAATGATTCTTTTTTATCCCGGCATATCACTATAAGCAGAGTTTAATTACAATTACTATAAATGCGACTCATTTGCATATTTAGTTCTCAAAGCCAAGCTTCATCCTTTCTCTGTTCTTCTCCATTGCTAATTGTTATTTTAAATTAATGATTTATTGTAATCAACCAAATTATACACATAATTATCAAAAAGAACTAAAATATTTAATGGAAAAAAAAATATCTTAAGTAGTATCTGAATGAGAAAAAAAATCAATAGAATAAATAAATAAGAATAAATAAATATCAAATAATAAACTAGAGTAAAAAAAATTACCTGAGCATAAAAAGCTCCTAAAATATTTCCAAAGTTTCCTGTTGGTATACAAACATCCACTTCATCACCAAGGGAGATGACCTTCTGTTCTACAAGGTTAAGGTAAGCTGACACCTGGAACACAATCTGTGGGAGGAGACGCCCCCAGGTGATGGAGTTAGCAGCACTGAAACAGTCAAAATACACATAAACTTAATCAAAATATGTACTGAACATTTGCATTCAGAGCAAACAAAAAAAAAAGATAAGTAATGATTATTAGGGAAAAAAGTATTTAATCTTTACTATCATTTTGAAACTCGAAATCTAAACGTGAACCTTTTGTACTTGGAGCAAACATGGGTATAGTATTATAAGGAAATCAAATGCTTCATTTTAACCTTTTTCACTGATGTGATCTTTAGTCCAGTAAAGCAGTACTTATTTATAGTACCACACAGGTGCAATAAAGATGATTAAAAGCAAATTTTAAGAAGTTAAAAGCAATACTATATACCATTACCTAGCTACAATGGTCCATATAAATAATTTTTTCCAACCTTTTCCCCATAAATAGTCGCATAGATATACATTTAGCTTCATATGATTTCAATATAAAATGAAATGTATTTGAATAAAGAAACGAACTAATGTTAGTATGTAAATATCACTCTTCCATTGTTTACAAGAGGCCCAATGGCCTTAATGGTCACCTGAGTATATTACAACCCTTAAACATGTTAAATGAACATTAAATAGTAATTATTATTCATAAATTAAACAAAATACACTGAATGATGAAAATATTATGCTAAAACACAGATCAAGAGAACAGGTAACAATAGGTCACCCAAATGACTCAGGTGACCTAAAACTGCACCAGAACTTGAACTATGGAACTCTTCAGAACTTGTACAATATTTTTAAAGATTTAGATAGGAGTTTGGTCCAAAAAGGAAAATCCATGTTTGACATCACTACACTTCATATGATCCAATATTTTTCTAAACTGGAGCATGTTCAGTTACTCATCAAATAGAAAAATATAAAATATATAAAATAAAATATAAAATACTTGTAATAAAGAAAATAAAACATTGAGTGCAAAATGAGAATTCACAACAATGAGGCCCATGACCACAATGCTTATTGGTCAATTTACAATGTTTTCCTCTATCTGTTTCAAATAAATACTGTTATAAAATGAGGTGTCTTTTACATATGTTTTATGCGTTCTGTATTGTCCCATTACAAATCTAATACTTTTCTACTTTTCTTTGACTGCTCAACAGTATTAAATTGACAAATGATCGGGGGGGGGGGGGGGGGGGGGGGGATAAATCAGTTGATTCTGTCATTACATGTCAAAGAAGTTGAGAAGCTTTCGCATATTATTTGTTTTTTATAACTAATAGAACTAAATAAATATCAGTTCAGGTAGTTTTGACATGTTTGAGGTTGTATATGCATTACATTTACATAAATGTGAGCAAAATATACATGTACTACATTTATTTCTAAAACACAAAATTCAAAACAAACTGAAGTATGAATCAAATGTGAAGAGGATTAAAACTTAATCTATAAATTAAAACTTAACCGAACTATGGATCAAACATGAAAAGGATTACAACTAAATCCATAGCTTCAAACTTAACTGAACTATGAATCAAACGTGAAAACGATTACAACTAAATCTATAACTTCAAACTTAGCTGATGGTGTTAGGCAGGTGCTTACTTTTTATACCTCAGTTTGAAATTCCCATTGGCAGCCAACCAGCTGGCAAGGTCCTGATCCTGAAATGCTCTCTTTACCATAGCCTGACAGAGATCAAAATCTCCCTCAATACCTAAGGAAAATTAAAAGCAAATATACATTGATTTTTAATATATATATGTAGCAAAAGAGAATTCTGAAAATTACTTGTACATTTAAAATAAAGCTTTTCTACAGATCCAAAGCTCCCCGTGCATTACCTTAGGTATACTTACATAAGAATAATTGCTGAATTTTCTATGGTATCTCATTTCAAAAATTTACTGTTGACATTCATTCCATGTATTTTGATAAGATGTAAATGCACACCTTATAAACGTTTTTTTTAATTTATTAAGTATTGCACGTATAAAAAAATTCATGCATTAAAATCTAATGAACTTTTGCATTTGAATTTTTTGTTGTTGACATTCATAGCTTTTGTGTCCTAAAAAGGGATTCAATGATATTGCACAATCCCTTACAAAACTTGCCATGTACATTATAAACCTTGATCTTCCAAATATGATATTTTTCCCTTCAATCAGACATATGTCCTTCAGGATCTCCCTCTCACTCATTATTTGAGAGTAAATCATGTCTTATCTAGAATCAATACATTCTGGGAGGGTAAGAAATGCCTTACCTAGCATCTGTACATTCTGAAAGGATAAGTGATGTTTTACCTAGTACCTGTGTATTCTGGGAGGGTCAGTGATGTTTTACCTAGCCCTCTGTAAATTATGGGAGGGTCAGTGATGTCTCATCTAGCACCTGTACATTCTTGAAGAGAGTCAGTGATGACTTACCTAGCACCTACACATTCTAAAGGAGTGGGGAGGGGGGGGGGGGGGGGGGAGGGTTCAGTGATGTCTTACCTTGCACCTGCACATTCTGGAAGGGTCAGTAATGTCTCATCTAACACTGGTACATTGAGGGGGTCAGTGATATGTCTTACCTCCTAGAATCTGTACATTGTGGGAGGATCAGTAATGTCTTACCTAGAACCTGTACATTCCCTCCACTCATGGATGTCATCTGGAGTCTTTGTACCTCACTGATTCCATCTTCTGGAAATAGCACTATCACCCCCACTCCACTACCCTCTGTAATAGACATAGTCACACTGGGTTATGAATGAAAACTAGATAACATTGCCTTTATCTGTAAAAAACAACTTACCACTGCAAAATAAAATAATCTTGGTTAATAAATTACAAATTTGATGCATCATTCTTTGATTAAATTTGTACCCCTCTTTCCATTGTTACACCCCCCCCCCCCCCAACACACACACACACACACAAAAGTATATGCTTCCATCATGTTTTTTCAATTCCCTGTTGATAACAATTCAAAACTTGTATCAAATTATCATAACAAAATATAACATTGTATACCAGCATGTCTGCGAAATCCATCAAGGACTGCACCCCCTGTGTCTCCTGATGTGGCCACTAAGATAATATACCTGTAAAGAGAGAAAACAAATTTAATCCAAGTAATTAGCTGACAGGAAGATAATGAAACCATGCAACAAAGGATACCATCAACAATTTAATTTGCAAATACTGAAAAAAAAAACCACAAGGTCAAACATGTACAAAATGTAATGTATGCATGTGAACCCTCCCCAAACATTTATTAGTAATAAAATTTGAGGGTTTTTGGGTTTTTTTTCTTTTGAAAAAAACTTAGTTACAGTGATCTCACAGCAAAAGGACATGTAAGAGGATTACAAAACACAACAACCTACCTGCTACTATTCATAGGTTGACTGTGTCGTAAAGCATCAACAAACATTTGTGGCATTAATTGAAGTGCCCCATCTTTAAATGACCCGGTAGGTCCATGAAATAGTTCTAACAGAAACTGATTGTCTTGCAGATGCCGGACAGGAAATATTTTCTCATCACTAAACAACTCACTATTGTACGCTTTCTCAATGAAAAGTCTAAGTTTGGATGGGTGGAGATCAAAGGGATTTATCAATTTCTCCATGATTCTCAAAGCTCGGTCCCGATACCCGACGTTAACGAGTCTACTCCATTCTCCCTTGGTTAAAATTGGAATCTGAAGAGCTGGTACATAAAGTCCCCCATCTGGAGCCAGTCCTTGTAATAGAATCTCACCTAACGTTGTTCTTTCATGGGGACTCACTGATTTAACATCCTGTCTGGTCGACACATATCCTTGGTCCTCTTCCAGCACTTTCAAAGCTTGTACCACTTTTTCCGACACAGATTCTGGACTTTCGTCCTCCTCACACAGTATTCGGATATCGTATGCCTGTTCGTATGTACTTTGTCTGTGGTCCAGAATGTCTGTGAGTGGGGTTCCCATTTCCTGTCCCACTATTCTGTCTATTTTCATTTTATGAAGTCTTTGTAGAATTCCCTTTGCAGGGTAGTCCAAGAAAATAACATAACCTGTGTTAGCTATATAACGCATCGCCTCATCGTGTAATGGATTAGAACCAGTGAGAGATATTATGCTGTTCTCTGCTTTAACAGTCATTAAAGCCTTGCCTTCTTCTTCAATAAAGGCTTTTGATCCCTTTTCTTTCAACTGAAATAGTGCACGATGTAATAAACATTATAAACCATATAATAAAATTTCAATGTTCACGATAAAATTTTTTTCCCTCATAACCTTCACATGTTTGAAGTATCAAAACATACCTTCAAAGTCTTTAATATTTGCATAAATAAGATAAATACAAAATGTTTACAGAATTAATAAATTGCTCAAAATTTACATGAACACAAAATCAGAAAATTGAATTATGATGTTTACTTTGAATTCTTTACACACACATATACATGTAGATATATACCACATAAAACTTACTTTTTCTGATATCTTTTTACCCCACATTGGCTCCAGCACATCATTATCAATGTCTATGGATGGTTTGTTCAGCTTCTTGGATAGGATGCGAGCTACTGTTGACTTGCCACTCCCAGGGCTTCCCATTAAAATTATATTATACTGAAACACGAGGGGTAATATATTCATTGAGTGATTGCAAGCATGAAATAAGAAGACACCTAATCTTAAAAGTTCTTGGTAATGTGAAATTGAATAACATGTTTAATAATAAAATGTTACAATATATTTAAGAAATAATTCCCGCGTCTGAGGAATTGTTGTACATGTTGTATAACCCGATAGTTGAGACATTTTGCATGGAAATAAAAAACCAAGCCCAAAGGGAGAAGTTTTTATTTTCCAAGAAAATCTCTCCACTGAGGGGTATATTCTTAAAGATATTCTGACGACAAGGGAACTATTTCTATTCTGCTACAGGAATTTTTTGATCTCCAATATAGAGAAACAGGGAAGCTAGATTTCAGTGTCTTATGATGTCATATTAGTGTCTTATAATGTTACAATTGAACGCTACTCCTTGTTCATTTGCACTTCACCCAACGAAAAAGTGCAATGTAATCAAAATACAAAGTAAACTTTTTTTTCCCACCAATTTGCAGAACATTCAAAAGATGCCTCAATCCTTCTACTGGTAAGCACAGTCAAAATCAGACATATTAGAAGAAACCCATTCAAATTTACTGATAAATTGTTGATGACATTTGTGATTAATTTAAGCATAATCATGATAATGGCCACAGCATTTCTTTCATCTTTGCAATAACCAACATAATAGTATGCAGGAACATTTTCCAAACTTTTTCAAAGTTGGTTCTCAAAGATAGAATATTCTCATGCAACTGTTTTGTAAAAATCATTTTGATTGGCTAATGCTCTGATGTTTGAGCCAATTAAATGACCATTAAAGAGAGTGAAAGCTTTTGATTGTGAAATCATAATAGAAAGACGCAAAAACATAACGCTTCATGACATATTTCATATAACAAAATAAGACGTAAACATTAAACAAAACGCAAAATAGCATCAGAATGGGAATAACTGTCTTCTCATTTGTTATTTGCCACCATCAATGCTGAGTTAACGATTGCAAACATCCGTTTTACTGTTAAATCAGAATTAAAAGTCACAAATAACAAATGAGAAGATAGTTATTCTCTAATTCTATCATGATAATGATAATGTCCTATGGTCCTGAATTCTTCCATTATATATTGTCTGAAATAGTTTTGGAGTTACTCTGCAAGTTTCTGCACCATTACGAGAACAACAATCATTGCATTGTGGGTCCAGAGTTACTGCGTCAAAAAATTCTATTGAATGAAATGTGCAGTAGTCCGAATTTTCTCTTTGCGCAGGTGTTGTCATTGCGCTCGCTATTATTCTGTTTTCCATTTTTAAATGTTAACCATGCTAGATCTGTAACAATAAATCCTTTAGAAAAAAACTACTAATTAGCCCTTTCACGATAACTGCGGTACTATTCTTTTGCAGGGCAAATTATTAACATTTGGCGAAGTTTTTGACTACAGATATAAAATGACATATATCAGTCAGGGGTGAGACTGAAATCCATCATTTTTAAAAATGATGGATAATCGTCATGTTTACTAACTACGTATTTTCGTCATTTTTGTCAATATGACTTACTATCGTCATATTTTCTTTTTTCAACATAATTCTTCTATCCTGGTTACATAAAAGCGAAATTTGAATTCACCGCTGCAAGAAGAGTGTTTACGTAAGTTTCATTTCATCCAGGTCACTAATTACTGCCAACCACGTGCGTTCAAACATCAACATGGAAGGTGAAAGTTATTTTAGCAGTAAAATGTCAAATTTTGGTAGAAATAATGCGCCATTTTTACATTGCTTTTAGCCATATAAAAACATATAGGACACCATCTGGAGGAATACCTACTTGTAGAGAAAAGTCCCAACAAAAAGTTAAAGCCATAAAAAAGTAGTGCGCCCCGTAAAACAAGCAAGATACTTCAGTGCGCCCAGACCCTCCATTTTGAAAAAAGGCGAAATATTGTCATTTTCGTCTTCTTTGGTTTTTGATGCAAATAAATTGACAAATAACTCTTCCACTCTTATTTTTGCTTGGGAAATTTGTACTGTCAACATAACCAGTATTGTAGTCAACTGTATTAGAGAAATGAAGTTTGTTTATGATGTTTTTTGTCCTTTTTTCGGTTGGTGGATCTAAAATTTTTCAAAGAGAGGTAACTCGGTATTCTAGAAACACTGTAAATTTTTATGACTGTTTTTCGTCATTTTCTTAAAAATGATGAGTTTTAGTCATAATAAAAATTTTATTTTATGACTAAAAATCGTCATTTTAAAAATGACAGATTTCACCCCTGACTGTATATTGAACAATTGCTTTAAGGTCGTTTTTCACCAAAAAAAATATTATTTTGCCCTGCAAAAGAGCAGTACCGCAGTTATCGTAAAACAATCAATCGAGTCATTAGTCACCCAACATTTCGGCAAACATGCATATGTGTATGATGTCATCATATTGTTTCTTCATCAAAAATAAGCTAAGTATTCTTGATTTTAGCAAAAGCAAAAAAAATTAGACATTTTTAAAACCTAAAGATTCAGGATTCATGATGTTTCAGAGTTCCATTTCAAATAGTGCAAGGAACAAGTACCTTCTCTGAGAAAATTCGGGTTGTGGTATTGAGTCTCCTCTGCTGCTGGTAACCTCGTATACGAAGGGTGGTACATGTTATAGTCTGGGCTTCAACGAAACGCCACAGTACGGAGTTTCTCAAAGTGGACAGCATTTTTGCCAAATATTACGCAATCCCTTGGAAAACTAAGCAGACAACTTTTTCCGCAACATTCCAATTTTTTCTTTTCGGAAAGATAACACTTACGAAAACTAATTCGTTTTGAAATTTTTTTTAAAATTAGAAAATAGTTAGTGATGTAAAAGAGAAATAAGGTACAGAGGTATTATCCTTTAAAAACTTATTGTAATTTACATAAGCTTTAATGCAAATGAAATCAATATAAATATATAAATGGAAATAGTTTATGTACGTGTTACTTCTAAATGATTAACCGGAACTCGACTAAACTGAAAACAACAATTTTACAAAAGGGGCCTATATTTTATTTTTATTGCCAGTATTTTTATTTCTCACTGTAGGAGTCCTTTAAACAGGAATTGTTAAAAATGGGTAAAGAGAAAGCTGGCTTTCTTACCCCAAAAGCAATAGCTAATCGAATAAAGGCGAAGGGTTTACAGAAATTGCGATGGTATTGTCAGATGTGTCAAAAACAATGCAGAGATGAGGTAAGTCTGATTCTGTAGAAGACTGAAAATTCTTTGTAAAATGTAACTAATTTCTTACGTTTAGTATCATGAAGGATCGAAATATTTTTCTCCCTTTATTTTATACATTAAAGTAATTTTTTTAACTTAAAAATAAAATTGCCTGTATGAGCATGTGTAATGCACATGATGCAGTGTAATATTTTCAAACTTAAGTACAATATTTGGAAACCAGGACAAAAGGATGCACTTTGGTAGGTGACTAGATCTTTAAATAAATAAAACAATGGAAAGAAAAAGAAAATAAATTGACAAATAATATGTTGATGGTGCGACTGATACGGCGGGTGCAGATTTGTATTACTGCATGGATACCTATTCACTTAGACAGCTGTTAGATCCACTGTTCCACACATCTACACAAGACATTTGGAATGTCTAGACTGTGACATCAAATGACATTGTTAGTTAGTTGCATTTCCATATATAACAATGTTTGAAAGGTTAAAATTTTTAACAAAGAACATTTAATCTACTATCCATATGCAATGTCCATTAAATCAGGAGAGTTTATTTTTTGATGAACTTCTGTTGTAACAGTGAGAATGTAAGTAGCATCAGTGCATTTGCATTGCATTGTGGGTCTCAAGACTACTGTGGAAAAAAAAATTCATTTGGATAAATGTGCAAAGTCCAAATTTTTCTCTTCACCCTGGTTTTGCTTTTAGAGCTTACAATGTCGCTGTGCTAGCTATTACCTCGTAAACCCATATTACCTATTTACGAAATGCCTGTATTGGATTACGGTATTCCTAAAACTGTATGCACATTGGAACTGTATGCACAGTAATGTAATAGTGTTTACCTGTACTTTTATCGTGTTTACTCCCTTTTTCTTGCAGAATGGATTTAAGTGTCACATGATGTCAGAGTCTCACCAAAGACAGTTGCTGCTGTTTGCAGAAAATCCTGATCAATATATTGACGACTTCTCAAAGTATGTTTGTAAAATATTTTTCATTAAATGAACATGTTGGTGTGTCAACTCAAATCAAATCATAACTAAAATTTACCTTACCAACTGTCTGAGAGTCAAAATAGGGGCATTTTGAAATATATACTGTTAAGTATAAAAGTATGGAAAAATTAGAAGTGCAATAATTACTCTTTGATGACTTGTTTAAAGCTGAACACCATTTGTAAAAGGGAGAGAATTTATCTTAGTCTACCATAATTCTCTTCATTTGCCGTTATTTCTAAGGCCTCTGTATAACCTGTTCACTTGGTCACACTTCATTGTCATAGGCATTTAAGGTTTTATTTGTGTGGACATACCCTATGTACATTGCCATGATTGTATATATAAGATACCTGGTAGAGACGAACATAACTACTGCATGCTTCTTCCATGACAGGAGTAAAGGTTAGCAAAGAAATATGACATCAGTTGCAAAGGTTAGTGCAGTACAAACAAACACAAATGCAGGAATATGCAATAAAATGAAAGCAAAGGCAAAGTAAGTTATGTGTTTTCCATTAATGCAAAAGGTATATCCCAGTACTGATATATTGGAAATAGGAAAACTAGTATGGAGTATGGCTATTTACAAGTGGTGTTCAGCTTTAGGATGTACATATGCGGCATTTGGCAACAAAATTTTCATGATTGTCACTTCAATGGGTAAAAGAGCCAAAATTCAGTTTTAATTTTATACAAGTGCAGTGCTTGATACTTCTTTCCTGATTCTACAAAAATAATCTCATTGAAATTGATTTTGTTTGAATTGTAGAGAGTTTATGGATGGTTATTTGGAGCTACTGAGGAGAAGGTTTGGTACAAAGCGAGTTCACTGTAACATTGTGTATCAGGAATACATCGCTTTTCGAGAACACATCCACATGAATGCAACACAGTGGGAGTCGCTTACTGAATTTGTTAAATGGCTGGGTAGAGAAGGTAAAAGTCTAATAAGTCAGTTGAAATTATCAGATGTTTAACAATTCCAATACATTGATCATACTGATCGCAGGGGTTTACAATACACATATTGTATTGTTTGGTATGTATCACGATACAGTATGGAGTAATTTTCTACAAATGACCTAGCAAATTGTCATATTCCAAAATGGCAGAAAACAAGTTACATGGATTTAAATCAAGAAGAACACAATCTTGAGACTGTGTCAGAATTCATTTGTAAGCAAAGTTAAGCTTTGTTACAAAAATGGCAAGTTAGCTATACAAAAATATGTAAAGATATCAGTTCTTTCAATTATAGGTGGTTCTATCATGATATATATGTTGTATTGCACGACCATATCATGATACATACATGTATCATGTCTTTCAATAGCTTCCGACACTCAATTTCTATGAAGATTTATGTATCAAGTATGTTATCTTGTTGAAAAGCATAACAAAACAGAGCTAGTATCAACATCATTGATTTTTTTACCCCCATATAATGATAATATTAATTAAATATCAATGCAGGAGGATTTTGAATTCATATAAGGAAAGACATAATTTACATTTAAACATATAAAAACAAAATTTTGACATTATTATTTTAGTATAGAATAAGTTAAAATGCATTTATATATATATTTTGAATAATATCTCTCTGTACAAACCTATCTTAATGAAAATGTTTATGTATGTATGAAACAATGAACGTATTTGCTTGTAAGTTATATTGAGAAAAAGGATATTTAAAGAAAAATAGACTGAATATATGTTTTATCCTGAAGTTAAATGAAATTTTTTTTTTAGGGAAATGTGTTGTGGACAACACAGAGAAAGGCTGGTTCATTCAGTATATTGACCGAGATCCAGAGACAATTAAGAAACAAGAGCAGATAAAAGCCAAGGAGAAAATGGACATGGATGATGAGGAGAGGACTGCCGTATTTATACAGAAACAAATAGAGCGGGCAGCCGAACAGGGAACATCAGCCAAGGAAACAGAGTATACAGAACTAAAGAGAGAAAATGAAGAGGACAAGGGTAAAAGGAAATAAATACAGTCAAATCCTGATATCTGGAACTCGATAGGGTCCAAAAGTGGTTGAGATATCCAATAAAGCAAGATACTTAATATGGTTAAAATACAAAAAAAAAAAAATAAATAAATAAATAAAAAAAACATGGACTTCCATTTCACTTGAACATAATCCATGGTATTCAAGATATCAATGTTTGATATACTAAAGTTCAACTGTTTCAAAGTATTTCAGTATATAAGTTAAATACAGTCAAACTTCATTATCTCGAACTTAACAGGGTCCAGTTAATCTTTGATATATTCAAGGATTTGGGGTGCAAGGTTAAAAAATATGAAGAAATAGTTGTTGAGACTGCCAGTTTTTTGTATTCAAGATATCAGTGTTTGAAATAATGAAATTCAACTGTATATATACATTTTGTATATGTATATGTGTGTAAGGACATCTCTATTGTTGAATGAATTATTTGAACACAGAGTTAAATTTATAAGATTATGTTATAATTTTTTTTTGCACCAATTTTGTATTATGATATCCAGAATAACCAATTTTAAGACAAAGTATTGATAATGATTTATCTAGTGCATGTATTGAATATTTTAGTTGATGTTTTGTAGTATCTCTAAGTTTTTCTGGACTAAAGCCCAAGAAAAAGGAAGAAAATTCAGTATTAAAGTAGGTAAAATGTATTGGTAATAATTTCTTCTTACTTTTCTAATTTCTGTCTCTCTTTCTCTCTCTTGCACAAATACTTGTGTACAATGATGATAATAGGTTCTTCTTCCAGACTCTCTTGCACATTTATTGAACACAGAAATGCAAGGTCTTCTGTTTTCATACAAAATGATAAATGTACACTTGTATGCTAATTTGATTTCCCCCAACAGACCAGACAACCCTCTCAGTTCAAAGAAACCCACAGAACCAGAAAAGCCAAAGAAAAGAGAGAGCCGGTGGGAAAAAGAAGAGCCCAAGAAGGAGGTAAAAAAAGACCCCTTCAAACCTCCCAAGCCTGGAGAGAAACGTAAATCAGCACTGGATGAAATCATGGAGGTTAGTGTGTTTATTAGTTACTTGTCATTTTCTTGTCAATTGTTTTACTGCTTCACTGCACACATTCATGGACTGTGGATGTGTCTTCTTACAGCTCCTTTGGCCTTAATGCATTTATATTTTTATGTATGTGATATTAGCAAAGTAAGCAGATAATTTGAAATATCTTTTCCTTTACTGGATCAGTTTGAAGAGAAAAAGAAAGAAAAAACAAACAGAAAAGATTACTGGCTGACAGAAGGCATTGTTGTGAAGATCATCACTAAGAAGCTGGGGGAGAAGTTCCACAAGAAGAAGGCAGTGGTCAAGGTAAACTAAACCCTGGGGTTCAGGGAAATGTCATTAGTAATCTTGAGGCTGCAGCCTAGACTTGTTTGATGTAATTTAAATTTATAACTTTAAAAATATTTGTTTATAATACGCAAAAGTAGGTACTATGAAGAAAAATTTGACTTTGGTATTGGCATCGTCTATGTAATTAATATTGTTTGTACTTTAGTAGTTACATTTATAGTAAGCCTTTGAATGATTGAGAATTTGATTTCAGTTTCTATCAATTGATACAGCAAACTGTTTGTAGGTTTCATATAATATTCACATTGTTATGTAGAAATTGGTCTTGACATGCATTTCAATATTATTGAAATCAGACCAAAAATGTAGGAATAGCACCTCAATCCTATTGCTTTTATATAATTATGTATTTTATTCAGCAGTAACAAAATATTATGCTGATAGCACAGAAATTACAGTTCCACCACTGATTTATGTACAATGTCATGTGAATGTAACACATACGAATGTCCAGTTTGACAGTAATCCACACTACGACAATCACAATATTGTTATCTGAAGGCTTCAATTTCAGGAGGTCCAAGACCTATACAGAGCTGTGATCGAAACCTTAGACTCAGGGAACAAAGTCAGAGTAGACCAGAATCACTTAGAGACAGTCATCCCAGCTCAAGGTAGAGAGATGCTGGTAGCTTCTACTGCAGACATATACATGTGATAAATGTAGCTTTTCTTCATGCATGAAGTCTTCTATATCATGAGTCCAGAATCTGCTGTAATGTTGACGCATTTCCATAAACTCCTATAACTAACTTAGATAGGGTTAATTACAAAAGGGCAACTTTGAAATTGAAAGGTGTTTAAAAAGCACAGGAATGTTTTTGATAGATCTAAGAAGGAACTCTTCTACAGGTAATAAAAATAAGTAGTCTTTACTTGTTTAAAATGAGAAAAAAAAACATAACAATTATGAATTGATATGTATTGACAGAGGTATTCTGTGCTTAATGTTAAGTTCTAGTCTAATTATAAGGTTAGATGGTCCCAAATTCCATTCATCACTTGCTTAGCTTTCAACTTGATAGACAAAAGGTGCTTTTCCACCCATCTCTTGTCATGTTTTTTTTTTTTTTATTATTTTTTTTTTTTTTTTTATTCTGATGTCAAAGTAAACCAAATAAGTTGCAAGTCATATTTCACTGCATATTTCCATTTTTTGTCAGAAGATATGAACCATCTTCCAAAAAATATCTTCTCTATAAATATAGGTTTTTCTCATCAAACTGCATTCTCTTTAAAATATGATTCAGTATTTTAGACTCTAAGTTCATGTTTACTAACCATAATCAGCAAAGCTGAATTTAACAACTCACCCCACTTTCTGTAATGCAAGCCAGATTTCAAATTTCTGCTTTAGTTTTTAACATATCCAATCAATTGCATGGGATTATGTGACATATAACATTTTTATGGGGGATTCTCAACTCAAGATATGATATCAAAATTAGGACAGAATTCTGTGAAGAAAAATTCTCACACCATTAAATACATGTATCACATTTATGGGGACAAAAGTATTTTTGTTTTGAAAAATAATAGATTAAGTCCTGCACTTATCATCAACAATGGTTAAAGATGATCAATTTGTAAACTGACAAACTGTCTCTCCTTACATGTTTAAGGTAAATTGGTCAAGATTGTGAATGGAGCCTACAGAGGCCATGATGCAGTTTTGGAGGGTATTGATGAGAAGAAGTTCTGTTGTACGGTGTCCATACACTCAGTAAGTAAAACTTGTCCGTAACAAATTTTCATCGCAATTTTCTCAGCAACTACTTCATCGCAGATGCTTTAAATTATAGCACACTGTGTTTAGGCATGCCATATGGTGGGATTCATTTTTGTATGAATCAGATGTCATCTTCCTGTTTATCTGTGTGTCTGTCTGTAACAATTTTCTTTTGCAGTTTTCTCAGCAACTGCTCATCACAGAGAATTAAGCACACTCTTTGTTTAGGCATGCCATATGTTGGGATTAATTAGCTCTTCTGAACCAAAGGCTCAAAGAGCTAATGCTATGGCCATTTGTGCGGGTGTGCATAAACTTTTTAGAATATGGGCCATAACTCAAGAATCTGTTGGCCAATTATTGTCAAATTTGCCACAGGGTATCCTTGGCCCAAGGGCTCCTGTTTTTAGTAAAACTAAGGTTGTGACCCTTAAACAAGGGGAGATAATTAGGTAAATAAAACTAAAAGTACTGGATGCTAAAAAATCTTCTCAAGAACCTCTGGGCAGATTATCACCAAACTTACACAAAAGGATGAGGATATGTTGTAGATTAAAATTTGCATGGGGAATCACCCTGGGGCAAAGGGTGTGGCCTCAAGGTCACTTCAAAGTTGACCAAAATTTTCGTTTTATTAAAATGTTGATATTTTGCTAACTATAAGGACTAATATCATCATATCATGTTGACTCAAAAGTAGTTTTTTTGCTACTTTTTTTGGCTGCTTTTTAAATTTTGTGGCCATTCTTTTTCAAAATGATTTAGAGGCATATTTTGAACAATTTAGGGCCTATGATCATCAAACTTTGTCAATTGATGCATCTTGTGTCATCAGAGTATGTCAAGTAAAAAGAAGGCCACCTTGATCTACTTTTTGAATTTTATGGCTAATCTTTTTCAAAACATTTAAGGTCATTAATTTGAATACTGAGAGGTTTAGAATCATTAAATCTTGTAAGATGATGCATCCTCGGGCCATAAAACAAATTTATTAAAAAGTAGGTCACAATGACCTACTTTTTGAACTTTGCAGGCATTTGATTTCAAAGTGTGTTAGAGGCATATTTTTGACATTTTAAGGCTTATGATCATAAAACTTTGTAAGTTGATGCATCTTGGGTCCTCAAAAAATGTCAACTGGAAAGTAGGTCAACATGGCCTTCTTTTAAAATTTTATGGCTATATTTAAATATTTTTGGTACTGCTTGGCTTAGAATCATCAAACTTTTTCATTGATGTACATGTATCTTGGGTCTCAAAGTAGGTCAACTGAAAAGTAGGTCACCGTGACCTACTTTTCAATGTTAATGGCTATACTAATTGGCTTAGAATCATCAAACTTTGTCAGTTGAGGCATCTTGGGTCTTTGGAGTAAATTGAGTGAAAAGTAGGTCACCATGACTTACTTTTGAAATTATATTGCTTTATATAAATATTTTTAGGTGCTAATTGGCATAGAATCATCAAACTTTGTCAGTTGGTGCGTCATGGTCTTCTGAGTAAGTTGACTAAAAAGGTGGTCACTGTGACCTACTTTTGGAATTTTATGGTTTTATTTAAATATATCAGGTACTAATTGGCTTAGAATCATCAAACTTTGCCAGTTGATGCATCTTGGGTCCTCAGCGTATGTCGACTAAAATGTAGGTCACTCTGACCTACTTTTGGAATATAATGTCTATAATAAATATTTTCGGGTACTAATTTGCTTAGAGTCATCAGACTTTGTTGGTAAATGCATCTTGGGTGCTTGGAGTATGTCAACTGAAAAGTAAGTCACTGTGACCTGATTAAATATTTTTTCAGGTACTAATTGGCTTAGAATCATCAAACTTTGTCAGTTGATGCACCTTGGGTCCTCAATGTATGTCAACTGAAAAGTAGGCCACTCTGACCCACCTTTGAAATTTTATGGTTATAATAAAATATTTTAGGTATTGATTGGGTTATAATCATCAAACTTTGTCAGTTGTTGCATCTTGGGTCCCCGGAGTATTTCAACTGAAAAGTAGGTCAACATGACCTACTTTTAAAATTTTTTGGCTTTTTATAAATATTTCAGGTACTAATTGGCTTAGAATCATCAAACTTTGCCAGTTGATCATCTTGGGTCCTCAGTATATGTCAAATAAAATGTAGGTCACTCTGGCCTACTTTTGGAATATATCAATATTTCAGGTACTATTTGGCTTAGAATCATCAAACTTATATGTAGTTAGTTGATGCATCTTGGGTCCTCAGAGAATGACAACTGATAAGTAGGTGACCATGACCTACTCTCAGGTACTTTTTGGCTTAGAATCATCTTGGGTTCTCAAAATGTTTTATCTAAAATCTAGGTGATGATGACCTACCTTTGGAATTTCAAGGCCTTATTTAAACATACAGGATACTTAGAGGCTTCAAATAGAAGTGATAGGTTGTACAGTTTATCAGAAGAGTGATTCAAGGCCCTTGGGCCTCTTGTTTTTGTACGAATTCAATGTCATCTTCCTGTTTCTTCCTGTCTTGCTTTGGTTCTTATCTTTTGTTACTGTGGACATTGACTTTCTGGATAAACTTTAATGATGATCCAAAAAAAAAACCTTAAATGAAAAAAAAATCATAGTAAATACAATTTTTCTTTAACTGAATTTGTGTATATTCACATGAGAGAGTATATTCACATCAGAGCAGGGTATTACTAGTGAGCATTGGCTCACATACTTCTTGTTTTTACGTGAAGGTGTTGATTTCTAGTTTTCCATCTTGTTTCAGGGTCCTTTAAAAGGGCGTGTTGTGGACAATGTTCAGTATGAAGATATCAGTAAACTCTTTAACCAAACATGAAGCTACATGTGCCCAAAGAGAAAAGATATCTCAAAGACAGAAAAAGTACAACTAAATAGAGACTATATGTGGCTGTTGTGTCAGGGAATTGTTTGATTAAACTGGACTTATGTTTTTAAAAAAAACACAGATATCGGCAGGAGGTGAACATTTGTGTGAAAGCAAGCAATTCTTTGCCTATTCACAAAAAGCAGCAATAAGAAATCATAGGTGTGTTGCATGAAACATGCATGATCTATGTTGTTATGTTGATGCACAGGACTGTGCAAAAAGAGAATAAATTCAATGCAGCTTTCCATTGAAAGACTGAAAAAATAATTTCACATTTGAAGATGTAAATATATTTTTTTAATGAAAGTTCATATTATTATACATGTGTGTATTATACAATGAGAAGATTTTATATTTGAAATTAAAATATTTGTGACCTTGCATGTAATATATGTTTGTTATAATATATAATTATGTAGTGAAACTTTGGAGATGGCAAAGTCCTTGGTACTTATAAATTTACTTTACTACATGTGTATATCCATTGTTCATTATATATATTCATATAATAAATTCGTTAAAGGATACATGATGATTTTGCAATATACATGTGTTCCTTCAAGTAAATGTTTACAGAAGTATAAAATCAAAAACTTACTTTGGATTTATTACTAAAGTTTTCTGATAAATTGGATTTCAAAAATAATTACTTACGAAAAAACAGATCAATATTTTAGATTTTGAGATTTATAATTATAAACCAGAGGCATTGTCTGGACAAAATTTCATGGGAAAATCATTCAGAAAAGCAGCGTAAAGCTCCAGGGTGCACATGGTCTCACCCAAGGAGGACTGATCCTGCAAACAAAGCAAGTAAATAGGACTTCCTTAGGAGGTAACACATCAAACAATGGAAAGCATTAAGCTTTTATCATTTAACTGTAAATGTCTTTAAAATAATCATGTCAGACAACTAATATTACACCAATGGCTTAATTATATTAAATAAAAAAGTGAAAATAATGAAGTGATCGATCTCAGATCTCAGAAAATCTACAAACAGTACAAATCTATGAACGGGACACAAAACACGGACCCCTGGAAAATCCAGAGGTGGGATCAGGTGCCTAGGAGGAGCAATCATCCTGTCGATCGGTCACAAATGTGATATTATATATTTGCAAGAAACCAATTTTGTTAAAGATAGAGTGAAATATATGATTCAAGGTAGCCTGACTCCTCATATCACAGTTTTTGAGAGTTAACATATGCTTCCAATGGAAACGGACATATGGAATTATAATCAAATAGATGAACGATTCTGTGAAATATGCGTCAGAATACAAATGGAAAATAAACATTAGTATATATTTCAATGTAAAATGCTTAATATATTGCAAGAAATCATTGCATAGTTATATCATTATACAAAAACTATCTTTTGTACTTAAGAAAATGCCAAGAGATATTTGTTCGAATTTGGATGTACCTGAGTGAATTAACCTTAGTGTATTTGTTTTATAATGATCATTGTCCCCAAAATTTAGTAGGGGTGTTTTCTTTTTTATTATACTTGTAAGTACTTAAATATAACGACTGGGACATTTAATCTTTAATCAAATATTTATTTTGTGACTCTATAGAAATATTTTATGTACATATATTCACAACAAAAACACAATGTACTCTGAGATTTTTTAAACCCCGGGATGGGCCGAGAATGTTTAATGAGTTCTGCATTTTCTAAGGAAAAATGTTCGTAACGTGTTGACAAACCTACCATAATTAATAGTGATTTGTGCACATGAATAATTATATTTCCGTCCACGGCACATAAAATATTTTGTAAGCATCTAATAATACTGCAATTTGTTTATGGTACCACCGTTGGGGCGAGCACAGTTGTATACCAACAATAACTTTACAAAACTTGGACTTTTAACTTTGATCCGCCTCTTCAAACTTCAGTTCGCACGAGACAGTCTAAGACATATCAGTCACATTTAGAAAGTTTTAGTCTAAGGTACTTTTTTTATTGTTTTCTTTTATATGAGCAAAATAAAAAGGTTTTAATTTTTTTTCTAATTTTGCTTTCAATTTACGAATGTCAGTTCCAAGAAATTAAATGTAATTGCGTAAATGTGTTACTTGTAAGCACAAAACAAATGTGCTGCTTAAGAGTTTTATCACTTGCCATCCCCGCATGAACAAAAGACAGCAACTATATCACTTAATAAATTACTCGAATATTTTTCTATTATCAACTCAACCAGATTTTTAATTGTATTTTTAAAAATAAGAACAAATGACTAAAGTAATTCTTTTCAATAATACATGGTGAAAAAAATTATAGAAGCTAATTTTCAACATGAAATGAACATAATTATTCTTTTCGGAAAATGTAATTTAATAATTCTCCCTCCATTATCAAAAATCAGGTGCCGAGAATGAGGATTAAGTATCCTCTGTAGACTGGTCACGCCGCCCTGAGCTACATCTATCTATCAGACAGACAGAATATTCTCTAGTCAAAAGTGGTATAAAACAAAAGCCTTACAATTGGTATTAAACTTAAAAAACGGACGAAAATCATACTAATGTCCATGATAAAAAAAATTTTGGTATCATTTTTCTGTTCATTGAAAAATGAACAGAACAATCTCTCCGTAGAAATCCCTTTCTTTAGTGATGAAAGTAAAGGAAAGTTGAATTATAGGAAATTTACTTTCAATTGCAAATTGAAATAAGATAATTTGACATAATATGTTCATGTAGATAAGTATTAACTTGTATTCCACATGTAGCATGTATATTGCAAATAATAAATTCAATGTGACATAAAGCATAATATCGTTAAATTGAGATATCTTAATGCATATAAAGCTATGCATACGTATCTTGGAAAGTTAAACTTATTTCTGAAGTTGCTTTTTAAGCTTGGAAAGACTAAAAGCTTGTATCAACAATTTTCAATGAGTGCAAATATAAAACAAGCACCCTTCATACTCAAACATACGAAAAATAACAGGTCATGAAAATTAAACAAAAATCTTAGCATACATAGATGTATACAGATATATTATACTCCAGTAGGTTTTAAAAAAATATTTGCAACTATATATAGATTTCTAGACGAGATAAAATTAAGATTAAAATTAAAACATGAATGTTTTAAAATGCAAGTTTATAGTTTTACATAATATACGACAATATATACATATAACTATAAATGAAAATCCTGAGTTATTTTTCAAAATTATTTTTAAAAACTTATTCATTTGTGATTTTATTTACTTCTTTGATGGTCTCTAACTCTGATAAACAGTTTTGATAACATTTATATATATTTTTATGTGTCCGAAAAAATTTCACCAAAAAAGTTCGAGAACATTGTGAATAACAACATTTAAACATTTAATATCAGGTAACAGACTTTTAGCTTAACTTTATATGTTCATACAAGTGAAATAATTGAATATTGCATGCTTGGATTAATATGAAAATCTGTTCCAAGGCCTATTTAACAATGTTTCAATGTGGAATTTGTTTTCCTCTCAAAGATTTCTCTAAAAGGTTTCTACGATTAGATGGGTTCATGTTCATCAAAATCTGATTATAAGTCTTATCAATTTATTTTTGTTAATTGAATAAGCTAAACGAGAATTCACCTAGGGACATTAAGTGCATTGTTTATGAAAAATTGCGAATCTTTTATAACTTGTAATATTTTTAATATCCCATATATTTGGCATACATTGGAATATAGAGTCATATAAGGATGACAGGACAACCTAATATAAACTTCTTTTTTTCAACCTTTCCAATGCGTATTTTTTTTTTTTAAATTCAATTAAAACTGATATTTAAATAAACTCTGTTTCACTTGTTAAAAACATGTTATGAGTGATTCACTCTATGACAAGAATAATAAATTAAGCACCTCTAAGCAGTTTATATTTTATATTAGAGAGTTTAATAAACATTTAAACCATAATTGTTAGTAACCTTTAAGGGATATTCTGAAAAAAAAAACAAACAAACAAATTTCACAATCAAACATTGTTATTTTGACTTTAGGCCAGGATTAAAAAGATAATATGTACTTTACCATACTTGCCTATAATATTGCCGATATTTCTCGTGTTTAGGCAAAAAAGGACAATCATCATGAGAATAACAATGTATACTGCCGTTCTGGTTTCTCTGGTGTTGATAGTTAAGAGCGAGAAGGTAGGTCATGTAAATCAGTTATATTTCATACGTATTTATATTTTCTAGAAATTAGCAGGGTTTTTTATATTTGAGACAAAATAATTCGTGGGATTCTTGTGTATGAAAGATAAAATGATTACTTATAATGTTATTATTTACGATAAATCGATTTTCTTATCAAACCTTTGTCATGAATTGATACAAAAAATGATATCAAATTATATAATTTGCTTCCTAACACTTTCTATGAAACTAAAAATAAATTTTTATTATTTATTGAATACACATGTGATTTTTTATCGCTAATATACAATTTCAACAAATGTAGAACAAATTGTATTTCAAACAAAAAGGGGTGTATCATTATCATTAATTAAATTCAATCAATGAGCTAAATAATGCAATAAATATTTGGCTATAATGATAAAACAATTGTACATATTTGGGAAATTGTACACCATAATAACAAAGATCAAAATGAAAAATATGCCCAAAACAGAGGTTTATTTTAAATAAAGTTTTTGTTACTTGCAGGTCGCAGAAGTTGAAAAACGTTCATCAGGAAGTAAGTAAATGGAAGATAAGGATAAAGGATATGATGCATCGTACTTCATACAACAAAATCTTCCAAATATGTTAAACCTAATACATAAGTACCGGTAAACGAAATATAAATAAATAAAATCCACAAAAAAGAATTAACTCACGCTTAACTCATTATTTTCAGTGCGCAATCTAAATTCACAACTATTGAGAGTTAACTTAAAAGCAAAAAGACTACAAAGAATTAATGAAGATGGTGTAAAAATTCAGACGTATCGAATGAAAACTATGACTCCAATATTAAATGATAAAGTGACAAAATGACATTTGTTTGAATTTAAGCAATGCGAAGCATTTAAACACCGAGTATATTAATATTTTGCCAAACTATAGTTGCATTATGTAAAAAGTTCAGTCTGAATACAGATTAGTGTAGTTACAGTTGTAGCTGCAGATACAGTGTAGTTAGTTGATTCTGGTAAAGTCTAGTTATAACTCGTTTATTATGTATGTCCCATGTTATGTATGCCAATTTCATTTTACGTTTAATAATACTGGAAACGATTTAGCCCTTTTCGACGTATTACAGTGTTTTACATGTGTAAAAGCATTACACTGAATAGCGAAACAAAAAAATCTATTAATAGAACTGATATCTCATTTCTCCTGTTTTCAGACTGTTATCTGGACAGCCATTCCCGAACTCTGAATGGACAATACACTAGCAGCAACAAGATGACACGTTCATACTGCCAGAAGTTTTGTGCAAAAGGAAATTACATCTACTATGGTGTTGAAGTGAGTGATCTAACTGTATCGTTTGCAATGTCTAACTGGGGGGGGGGGGGGGGGGGGGGGGGTTGCATTACTCTCACAAAGCCTCATTAGAAATCAAACTATATAAACACTATATTTTATTGTTTTCTAATTGTATATATTAAAGAGACGTAATGTTAAGAAAAATTTTTCTCTAAGGATGAAATCTTTTTAGCCTTTTAACAAAATAACAAGATCAAAATACACCTAAAATAGTATATCCTTAACTATGCTTTACTGATAGACATTATTAGATATAAGGTTATAAAGTCATTTAATGTGTATGAGGGGAAATAGCAAATTCATGGTTTTCCTAGCTAAATACTTTGCTGCCGAGGGGGATCATAAATTTACTATTTACCGATTACCTATCCTACATGTATAGCAGTTTTATTATACCGAACAATCTGAAGAGAGTGTATATTTAATAAATATATACTCAGATATTTTTTATATATAAGGACACTCAAATCAACACACTAATTTTTTGCAGACATTTGATTACAATGTGAGAATTGAAAAGGAGACTTGTCGTATGGAAATTGGACCATCAAATTAGCTTAGAATAAAATTAACCATAAATTTGATTAAGGTGAAAGAGATAAGATTTTTATTTCTGAAAACTCTTAAAAGTCTCAAGAAGAATTTATGAAAAAAAAACTAAAAGATTATTTTCTTCTTTTAAGGCTGATTTTATGCAAACCTTTTAAATGATATGCCAAAATCGATCTTTCAATTTATGATTTTTTTAGAAAGATATAGTAACCTCTAGGTGATTTGGGTGAAAAATAAGTCTGAAGGCATTTACTTTTAATCTTCAAAATCTTGTTTTGTATTTGATATTGTGTAAATCTGAAAAAAAACAAAACAAACTATGGGACTATTTGAATGACAACTGCAACCATAATTACCAGGAATATTGGAACCACTTGACTTGAATAATTATGTAAATATTAGTGCCTTACACCATCCTGTAATTACTTTCCTTGATTATCAATGTAATGGTAAATTTTGGAATACACTGAACATTATGTAAAAGCGTTGTTCCTTATCTATCTGCTAATTCAAGTACAAACTAAAATATAATTGAAAAAATTTTTAAAAAAATGCTTCGTTCAGTTTGCGCTATGATTGTGTTTACTAGTTAATGAAAAAAAAAAGAAGACAAATTTTGAGTGCGCCAATTCAAGTTTTCACAGTTTTAAAAATTAACAAAATGATGTTTTGCTTTATATGATAGGCTGGAAATTGGTGTTATTGTGGGAATTACAAGACAAGAGAGGTCATGAAGCAGTCATCTGCCTGTAACCACAAATGTACTGGAGATAGTAACCAGAAATGTGGAGGAGCTTGGGCAATTAACATCTTCGCCAATCCAGAATACAAGGTTGTATATGTAAAGAAGGTTTACGGAAATTCCCATGCCAACGCAGGATACATACATATTTAAAGTAAACAAATATTCACCTTTAAGTTTGTACTACAAAATAACTTAATAATGTGTTTGTGTGAAAGTTAAAATCAATTGGTCAATAATATATAATTTTCGGGACATTATTCCAATAATCAGCATTTTTATGCCCCCGTATCGAAGATTCGGGAGTATATAGTTTTTGCCCTGTCCGTCCGTCTGTCTGTTTATCTGTTTGTCCGCAAAAACTTTAACATTGCCCATAACTTTTGATTGGTTGGAGCTATGGCTTTTATATCTCACATGTGTATTCCTTGTGACAAGACCTTTCTTTGGGTACCACCATATTTGACCTTTTGACCTTGACCTTGGAGTTTGACCCAGTTTTGCAATTTTTTTCCCAACTTTAACCTTGGCCATAACTTTTGAACAATTGGTGCTAGGGCTTTCATATTTCACACGTGTAATCCTTGTGAAAAGTCCTTTCTTTGGATAGCAACAACTTTGACCCTTTGACCTTGACCTTGGAGTTTGACCTTCTTTTGAAAAACTTTAACATTGGTCTTAACCTTTGAACGGCTGGTTTTAGGGCTTTCATATTTCACATATGTAATCCTTGTGACAAAACCTTTCTTTGGATACCAACAAATTTGACCCTTTGACACCTTGACCTTGGAGTTTGACCTACTTTTGAAAAACTTTAACATTGGCCATAACTTTTGAACGACTGGTGCTATGGCTTTCATCTTTCACATATGTAATTCTTGTGACAAGACCTTCCTTTGAATACCAACAACTTTGACCCTTTGACCTTGACCTTGGAGTTTGACCTACTTTTGGAAAAAATTAACTTTGGCCATAACTTTTGAACCGTTCGTGCTAGGGCTTTCATTCTTCACATATATAATTCTTTTGACAAGACCTTCCTTTTGATACCAACGACTTTGACCCTCTGACTTTGACCTTGGACTTTGACCTACTTTTGGAAACTTTAACCATGGACACAACTTTTGAAAAGTTGTTGCTAGGGCTTTCATATTTAAAATGTTTTTCCTTTGTGATAAGACCTTCCTTTGGATACCAACAATTGTAATCCATTGACCTTGACCTTGGAGTTTGACCTACTTTTGAAAAACTTTAAACTTGGTCATAACTTTTGAACGATTTTTTTTCTTCAGCTTTCATATTTCACCTGCATATTTCTTGTGAGAAGGCCTTTCCTTAGGCACCATTTATTTTGACCATTTGACCTCGACCTTGATGTTTGAGTTACTTTTGAAAAACTTTAACCTTTTCCACATCTATTCAACGGTTGCTGCTAGGGCTTTCATATTTCACAGGCATATTCCTCGAGACAAGACCTTACTTTGGGTACCAACATATTTGATATGCATTTGAGAAAGTTCAACCTTTGCTATAAGTTGCCATCAGTGTTTCACAAACACATCTTGTTTTTTTTTAATTTTGGCAAAAAAAGGCAACATTCACTTTTCAATCATATTGTGAACATTTAAGATTCTTAAAATGTAATATTTTATACTTTCAAATCAGAAGTACACAGTCCTGTAGTATTACTTATCAAGAACTGTTTATCTGTCCATTAATTCGTTGATTTAAATATGGGACTACCTTAAAACTGTAAAATCACATATATTCAAGGGGTGATTTTTGTTGTTTGAAGAAAAACTATGATTTTGTGGGGATTTCTTTCGGTTGCTGAACAATAGTTGTGTAGTTATACATATGACATTTTACATTTCGCATTGGGCATAAATTCCTGGGTCTATTTATAACTTGAAAACAACAAAAAATTAACTCTCATGGATATTAATGATTTCAAAGTATTTCAATAGTAGTTTTCCAGTTAATAGATGTCACATAGGCAAAGATACCACACAATGGTCAATCTCAAACATCCTATCGGCCAAAAAAAAAAAAAAAACATCAGGAAACATCAAAGATGGGATGAAATGTCTTAGAGGAGAAAACATTTAATGTCAAACAGTCCAACTTTTCATTTGTCTTCTATTGATAGACAAAATTTATATTATAGAATATTGGAAAATGGCTTTCAATGCTCTGGCACCTTCAATCATTATTTTACCCCACTGCTTCAGTTTGCGAACAAGTTGCTGATATTAACTTTTTTATTTGAAGGCTTTTTTGAGTTGCTGAGTTTTGCATTCTTGTATGACATTTTAATTTGTAATAAATTGTGCCATCGGATTAGACAGGTTTCACTGTATTTTATCAATGAGTAACTTCAGATCCTTTTAATATAAATTTTAGAGCATTGTTTTTAGAATCTAAATAATTTTAAGCAAAATACGAGTAATATTGTAGATGATATCAATAATTCTGAAAATTTCCTTTTCCTTTTTTCTTTAAAAAGAATATTTATTTATATGATGTCAACAAGCTAGGTCTTTAACTTATGGTGAGCTACATTTAAAGAAAGTTGAAGGTGTTAGGTTTTGATGCTTTTGATTTACATTTTTTTTTCTTTACAAATTTTCTACATATTCTTTGGGTATTTTGAGAGTCCACACTTTATTTAACCAGTTCTTTAATATGTCGAAGCACAGTATTTCGGAAGGTGTTTACGGACTGAAGTATTTTTTTTTCTGGGGAATAAATAAGCTGACTTGGTAGAACGTTTTACTGGATACTAGCAAAACCCTTTTCATAATAAAAGGAAAGATATGCACCATCAATGTCTCTGGTTTCAGAGGACAAGACGTAATTATACATGACTAACGTGTAATGTTTCAAGATAACAAGGCTTCATTTGAAAATTAGTACACTTCTCTTTGAAAGATTTGACATCTTTAAATGAAACTTATTCAGGTTTTCTATTTTATCACCTCAATAAGGCACTGAGAAAAAATAAATGCATTTTTTTTTTCATTTTCACTTTTTTTTCTTTTTCAGACCCCAGATAAATGGACAGAAGGTAGCAATGGAGGTAAGTCGAATGAATAATATATAAGTCGAAATCTCGAATCGCTTGGGGTCGACAAATTAGCACATTAATATTGATCTCTGAGGTCAAAATAGCAAGACATGAAAAAAAAAAAACGATTTCAATAATTTTATCAGTAAATGGCATCAAATAAGCATCAATTTCAATAACACAGTTTCTCTGGTGTTTTAATATTTGGATCTCGGAAATCAAATTCTAGAAAAAATATTCCCGTATGTTTTTTTTTTTTTTTTTAAATTTAAAAGAATACAAGTCAAAATAAAACTTGGAGGAGAGATTTTATTGTTTAATGGACTTAAAAATGTTGAAAGTCATTTGTTTTTATTTCTATTTCTTATAATGTTTTTAAACAATTTTGGCCTTATTTCCTTCATATGTTTTTATTAACACAAACGTTTTCTTAAAAAGCTTTATCAATTTCAACCAGACTGTACCATTTACATTATACTTTCGAAATTTAGGGTCCCTTTTGTTGTATTTCTTTTAAATTTTTCTCCTTGGAGTGCTTAGATATTGTATTGGTATTTATTTTAGCAGAATTAGTCACAAGATGGTATATTGCCCTTTTGTTTTAGATAATATTTTAAAATGAATGCTTAGAACAATTTGATATTATTTTGGTTTTACAATTTTTTGTGTTATGTGAGGCCTATATATTGCGTAACTTAGCAATAACATTTAAATATATTTAACAGAATACTTAGGATGTTTCCAAGACCAGGCTAGCAGAACTTTTACTGGACTTCACTACAGAAGCAATAGCATGACAATTGAGCGCTGCAAATCTTATTGCCAGAGCTACTCAATGTATGGTCTTGAGGTAGATAATAGTCGATATATTTCAATTTATGTGCATGATGTCTATAAATGTACTCTATTTAGCTTTTACGCTTTTTGACGGAAATTGATTTTTGAAAAAAAATAGTGTAAATTTGATGTAGCCCCTTTCTTAATGTTCTTTTATGCATATGTGCCAGACATCTGGTGTTGTAATTGAATTAGCGGAAGTTGCTTTCCGCCAAAGGCTCTAAAGAAAGACACAACCAAATGTAATACGCTTACAAAAGATAGCAAACGGAGATGGTAGCTTAAACGTCTTATATAATATCTGTTTGAAACAAATTAGGCCACCACAGGATGTTGGTGCGGACACTACTTCAAAACAAGAGTTCCAAAACCGGATTCAGATTGTAACATGAAGTGTAGAGGAAATTCTGCTCAGACTTGTGGAGGAGCCTGGAGAATGAGTGTTTACAAAAACCCAAACTACCAGGTGGGTTAAAAAACATAATATTACGATAACATTTAAGATGAAAAATAAATTACCTTGTTGTGTGCTGAAAGCTTTGGTATTTATATTATCGTTAAACAAATGTATGGTGTCAAAAGATAAAGGAATTAATGAATTTTTAAGCCACAACGTTGACCGTCTTTAATTGTTTAGAACAATATATATATATATATATATATATATATATATATATATATATATATATATATATATATATATATATATAGTTGGTGATTAATGATGTGTCTTGACAATAATTGGGTCTTGAACAACATGGCTTGTGTTAAACAATTGTAGAAGTCTTAAATATGATTTCGAAAAAAAAAAATAATGATCATAATAAAAGAAGTCTTGTCGAAAAAAAATCATTACTTCATGCTAAAACAATGATGTATCATCTTACAATTTTTATATGGTACGTGTTTTTCTGAAACATACTTGGATTTTTTTTTCTTTTTTATAGCCAAGCTGTTGAGAAAAGATGCAGCCAGTGTCAAAGGAACAGACGTCGGACTAATTATAAAGCAATAATTATTAATCAGAAATAAAAATAACAATACAGAAAATGTGCGTCCTCTTTGTGATTTTTAATAAATAAAAATCAGTAAGATTACACGTATAGTAGTATATGTAATTCAGTAAGATCAGTAATACCTCTAGAAAAGCTGCAATAGATCAGAAAGGAGTGCTTTTAAATAAGGCAAAGAATCAGGTAAATTCAGTTTGAATTCCAATTTAAAGCTTTTTAAAGTATATACATTTCTTTTCAAAGACCTCTGGCCATATGTATTTCCTTATTACCCTTCATAGTTTGAACATATTTTATTGCAATAAATGTATACAACGGGATTGGGCACAAGTTCTAAAAACTTAATTCGCCCTCTCCCTTCATAGTGTCGACATAACGAATTCAACTACCAATTATTTTCTTTAGAACTAATTTTTTTCTTACTAAGTAAATCAAATGTTTATATTGTGAGTTTTATGACGAACTGCTTACATGTACAAGATCAAGTGAAAACAGTATATGGGATTGATATCTAGTTAGTATACCATGCGAAGGGGGATTTAAACAATATCACGTCAGTAGATGGTATTGTTTCGTCTACACTTCTCGACCAGTAAAAATTAGTAAACTCTTCAATGGCAAAATAAGTAGCATTTTGAATGTCAAAAGTGTTTAAATACTCGACAATATCTCGGGTCACATTATATTTCTTACTCTGTAATTTGGTTAAATTAACCGCTAGTTTAAACTAATTAAATAAATGGAATTTTTGTTGAGCTGGTTTCTTGTTGTCAAAACTTACACTCTCCGCTGATAATCTGGAAAAAATCATACTATTTTTAATAATGATTACATTCCTGTGCATTTATTTTATTGGGATGACTGCCTTGTGCAAAATTTGATGCTTCATATTAACTAATTTAATACGTTGATTCAGTTTTTTTGAACAAAATGTATCGATCAACTTTCTTGCAAGCGTTTACACTATTAATAAGAAGTAAAAGTTATCTGTTAACCAGGCAATGTTTTTTTTTTCTTTTGATTTTGGAATTATTAACGCTTAAATAGCCTCAAGGGTGATGTTATATGTAAAAGTGTCATGAAACGAACTGAGAAGCTATGGCATTTCTTAGAATGTCTGCTAAGGTGGGAAGCTGGGCAAAATTCTAATTTAACAGATCTTTAAAACGTATCCTATTAAATTTAGCACCGAAACACTAGTATAAGCTTTTGATTTTTTTTTTGTTTTTGTTTTTTTTTTTTGTTTCGTATTTATATCCGAGATAATGTACATGTAATCATTGTTTTATTTACAAAAAAGATACTTGAGAGTTGAACACCTGCTGTGAATAAAATATGAAATCAAATAAAATTTGCTCAAAAATACGGTTTGTTAATATTTTTGCTCCGTTTATCCGTTATAGATAAAATCTACAATAAACATTTTCTGTAGAAAGGAAACAATAGACAATTCCAACTCGAAGAAATTGAAATGAAATATTGAATGAAGGTGAAATTGGTAATTTTTAATTTTGGGCCAAGCAATCTCACCTTAGATTACTTTTCGTTATCTCCATATATGATTCTTGAATATATATTTGGCAATCAAAATAAGAAACATCCTTTGTCGTAGAGATCCGTTGCAAGAATTTCCTGTAATGTCTATCATTTTCATAACTATTTTTTCTTCTACATTCTTGCTAGAATTTTTTAAGATGATATATCTGGAAAACATCTTATTTCAGTGTTTTTTTGTAATTAAAACTATAGAGTTGAGACTTGAAAGTGTAAAATTTAGCCTTTCATAACCTAGTTACAATAACATAGCCCTCTTCCTTTTTTTCTTGGGGGGGGGGGGGGTGTTCAACATTTGACCTCTGTATTGATCATTTCCTTCATTGTAACTCCTAATAAATACTTCCTCATATTCTCTACAATACTGGAGTCTAAAAATAGCAGACTGTTAATTGTTGAAGAGGTATAGCACACTTAGTATACCAAATGCTAATGTATTCTTTTGCATTTACATTTTTCTTTCTTATTTCTTCCGATTTGGAACGAAACGTATTAGTTTGTTTTTAATTGTCTCTCTCATTACTAAACACTATCCACAATCAATAAAAGACGATAAGGAATGAATTCTTAAATAACATATTTTCAAAAACCTTGTAAGTTTTATTTTCTGTGTGAATGTATGTCATATCCAAAAGCTAAAAGTATATTTGCTCGGAAATGTGAAACGCCTGGTTATAATAAGAAAAAATAGAAAACATCTCTTTCATATCAGTTCAAAAAGCAACAGTTAAAATTTTCTTTATTCATATTATGAACATACTTTTAACTTATCCGTTGATTGCGATTTTATACACAGATAAACAATATTTCCAAAGGGTCACTGTTTAAAACAATTCTTGTTTCTATGTGTAAATGAAGTAAACTATATTGTAATGTCTTTAGAATTCTATCACTTCGAAATGACACTCCACTGAATGTAATTGAAAATTCTTAAACACACAGTTTTTATTTCAAAATGATACGGAAACTATCAAAATAATTGATATTGATGGATTGACTTCATTTACAGACTTCCAGTAAACGTGTGTGTGATAAGCCGGACAAAGAGTGCAGTTCCAAATGTAGTGGAAATGAGGAGCAGTTTTGTGGTGACAATGGAAGAATAAACGTTTATAAAAATTTCAGTTACCAAAAAGGTAGAAGAAATCTACTCATATTCAATATTAATGTCTGAGTTTTTGAAGATGCTAATTCTTCAATTTCCTCCATAAATCCTATTCTAATTACCACAGCACTTTTTGCTGCATTCTGATTCTGGTTTCTTGTTGCTTCCTGTGAGATAGTTGCCATACTGACACGAGTCTGTGGTCTAGAACATTCGTAAATCTAGTATTTTCATTATGGGTAGGGCTATTTCCTGTATAATAAGGGTGGTGGATCTGTTGGTTCTTGTGTCACGTGACATGAACATCTATAATAACAGTAAGTGTTTAAAAAGTCCTAAAGTACTAGTGCATAGTACTAAAATCGAATCAAGGATGGAAACCAGTTAATAATATATTTATATTTAAATTTTACCGGTATATATGATCAGATTGTGTTTTAATGTTGATATTAAATTCTGTTATACGCAATGTAATTAAAAGCGCCAATGAGCAGCATTCCATACTAGTATACGCGTGCGTTTATGTTGTCTTTTTATAATTCGTGAGAGTGTTACTAAATTATATACAGAAGAACACAGTGAGGGAAAATAAATAAAAATAAAATCTTTGGTTTGTTGTATATTGACTATCTGAAACAGACTATATATTTCACCTCTACAATTGTAGAATTACGAACCTCTACACCGTAAAAGAGAATTTCCTGTGTACAAATTTTCCTGCACATCTCTTGAGTCATGAGTGCGTGTTTTGTTAACTTTCCCTGCAATGTCCGGCAGCGTTGATCTTCATAGCAAATTTTTTTTAGCGAAGATTCAATTTTGTCATTATTAGCGAGGGTTCTGAGATCACTGAAATTGAATATCGCTTACAATTTCTTCCGTATCGGTTATTATAGCTATCTCTCTTGACATTATAAAAAATATTCTAAGAGAAATTCATTTTATGCGAGTTATTAAAGTATTCAAATATATAGATAATGACAATAAATCTGAACCATATTCTAAAAATTCAGGTACAAAACTAACTTGCTGTTTATAAAGCTAAAATAATCTGTTGTATTATCAAGTACTCTAAAGTTGACTATCACAGGACTGTGTCCTGTGCAATGAGGCGTGAACTCATGAAGAAATTTATTTGTTTTTCTTTAAATTTGAGGATGTCTATTCGGTTTTGATCATTAAATAAGTGTGTGATCCACAAGTTTCGAATGTATGGATGAACATCATCCTGATGAATTGCATCCCAAGATCTTTCAAAGTTTTGCTCAATAATGCAAAGTTCTTTTTCAATTATTTGCAGCTTGTCCTTTGTTTGTAAGCAGTATTCACAGGACAAATCTAAAAACAAGGCAAAAATATCCGCGTAAAATGTATAGGTACAAAACTACTCCAAAGACAGTATGCTGCATGACCTAGTTAACACTTAAATTTTTATAAAACAGCATCTTAAAAAACAAAATGCTAATATAAAGCAAACAATTTTAAAGACTCAAACAGTGCACGTCGTACTTTGAAGGTCAACACGATTTTAAATAATTAATCGCTATGTGTATTTAAAAATGTACAGTAATAAACAGAATATAAAATATGCAAATTAACATTTTACATTTCCTTCTCGATACCTATAAATTGCTAAAAATGACCCCTGTAAAAATTATTCTTCATAATTCTTTTATCCTGTTAAAAAATTGCAATCAGTGATTATTTTATTCCAAACTATTTTAGTATTTGTGCCTTAAAGTAAATATTTGCTCTGAATCATTTATTGTATATTTGTAAGAAGTATTTTAGTACGATTTTCATTGCTTTTAATGATCTCCGTACAAATTTTCAAAACCTTTGCAACATATTTATTTACATTGTTTTCTTTTAAATTTCGTAAATTATAACGATTGCAATGAATAAATCATGCAAACTCCTTTACAAAAATATTATATTTTACTTACCATTCATAGTTTTTATTCTTTTTTCCCCTCTTCAGCAACATGGCATGACGATGTGTTTACTTGTGATAACTAATTATGAAACGTCGTAACTGCCACTTACGACGTAAATACATCACAATATGTAGCGTTAAAAAGTAGTATCTGCCACTTACAACCTTTTATGTTTATACCGTGCAGATACGACCAAATGTTATTTCCCCGTAACCATGGTAATAAATAGAATATGATTTTAATATTTTGATAAGTTATACAATATGTTATGTATTTTTTAGATTGCTAAAAAAGTCAATTTTGTCGTATCCGCCACTTACGACCTTTTAATTCCACGGCGTCGAGGTGTCCTGTGCAATGAGGCGTGAACTCATGAAGAAATTCTTAGTCTAAGGTCTTTTTTATTATTCAATTTTT